CGTAAAAAAAATTCAATGGAAAAAAAAAAAAAAAAAAAAAAAGGACATGCACCAACATGCACACACATGTGCTCAGAGTGTTGGGATACGGGATGGCCCCATCTTTTTTCCCTCTTGCAGTTTCATTTTCGAAAGGGAGGGCATGTTTGGCCACCCCGCCCTGTTAATGGGGGTCCAATTTTTAATTTATTTTTCCTGTTTTTTGTGTTTGGGCGTGTAGGGCCACATGTCCGAGGCCCAACGCGCGAATTCCGCTTTTCGGAATTCGACGCGACGCCCCCGTTTTCGAGTTAAACGGAATTCAACGGGGGTCACAAGGCCCATTAAACGGGGGTTCAGGCGTTGAATTCTGCCCGTTCTCCGTTAAGAAGATACACAACCCGCACACGCGCGCGCGCGTGTGTGTGTGTGTGTGTGTGTGTGTGTGTGTGTGTGTGTGTGTGTGCTCGAGGGGGAAGGACAACCCCTTCCCAACCAATCAATCAATCAATCAATCAATCAATAAAAAAAAAGAAAAAGCGAAAAAAATAAAACAGTGGGTTTGACCCCCGCGTGTGTATGTGTGTGTGTGTGTGTGTGTGTGTGTGTGTGTGTGTGTGTGTGTGTGTCCGGGGGGGGTGCGGAGCGACCTCTTCCCCATCAACCAATCAATCAATCAATAAGTCAATCAATTAAAAAAAGAAAAAGTAAAAACAAAATAACATCGTGTTCGACCCCTGCGTGTGTGTGTGCGTGTGTGTGTGCGTGTGTGTGTGTGTGTGTGTGTGTGTGTGTGTGTGTGTGTGTGTGTGTGTGTGTGTGTGCCGGGGGGGGGGCGACCCCTCCCCCACCAATCAATCAATTAATCAGCCAATCAATCAATCAATCAACCAATCAATCAATCAATCAATCAATCAATCAATCAATCAATTCAAAAAAAAATTCAACTAATCAATCAATCAACCAATTAACCAGTCAACCAACCAACCAACCAATCAATCAATCAATCAATCAATTAAAAAAAAAAAAGTGAAAAAACAAAACAGCGGGCTTTTCAACAGAGAGAACAAATGAAAAGAAAAATAAAAAGGGGGTGTCCACAATTTTTTTCTCCCCCCTTTAAGACCCCCCTGTTTGGACCCCCCCGTTTTTTAAATTTTGTATTATTTTTGGGTATGGGAGGGTGGGGCCCGGGTCCCGCTTACGGAATCCCGACCCTGATTGTAAGTACCCTCCTCCCCTCGGTTGCAGCGAGCCGATTTCGGCCGCGACCGCGGCCCTGCGGCCCCTACCACGGGCCGCGGTCGTGATCGCCATGACCGCCGCCGCGGGGGACAAATAGCCTCCACCGTCATCCGAAAGAACCCGCCATGGTTTTGGAAAGCCCTCTGTGAGGTCGATGATGTTTTTCCCGCCCTCAAGAACGAGGTGACGTGTGCGCCGGTTCTTTGCCTCCTCGATTTCGATCGTCCCTTCATTTTTACCACTGATGCGTTACATTTTGCAGTAGGAGTTGTACTTTCTCAAATGTTTCTCACTCCTGATTCTCCTTATCAACATGTTCCTCACTTCCCCACCCCTCCTGCCAACACTGCTTCTCGATTGACGCCTATCCTTCCACCACTTCCCTCCACTGACAGTCCTCCCGTCACTTACTCCCCGACCATCGTGGAGGATGGGGCCTACGAATCTCCCTCGGCGGCGGCCGTCCGCGGACAAGTTCGCGGACGCGTCCGCGCGACCGCGTGGCTGCGCGGCACCGTGGCGGCCGAAAGGGAGGTTCATTAATCCGAAACCGGCTCCCGGCGGCGCATGAGCGTCCCCAGCCCCACGAACAGGAAAAAAAAAAAAAATGATTTTCTGGGGGGGTCAATTTTTGTCCCCTATAAGGGTACAAAAAAAATACCCCCCCCACATTTTGCAAATTTTTCGAAGCGGGGGTGTTTGACAAGTGGCAAGGCACGTGTAGGGAAAAAAAGAAAAAAATTCCGGTGGTGGTTGGGGTTTCTGGGAGGGGGTTGTATTTTGGGGGGGGTTGTCGTGTGATGGGGAGGGGGGGGTGGGGCGTACGGTGTCGTTTCCGGGTGCAGGCCGTTGGGGGTGGTGTAGGGTTTGGTTGCCCTTTGAGGTTGAAACCTATAATACAAAGCAAAACAACACCCCGCCATGATGCACACCATTTGTGTACGTTTTTTTTAAGTGGGGGTGCGTGATGGGTGGTGGGCCGAGGTGGGGTGATGCCACAAACAAACAAATATCCATCGGGGGTGGGGGGTGGGGGGGGGCTGTCTCTTATACACATCTAGATGTGTATAAGAGACAGCTCTCTCTCTCTCTCTCTCTCTCTCTCTCT